ACCTACAGTGCATTCAGAAAATATTCAGACCCCTTCACGTTTTCCACATTTTGTTACGTTACAGCCTTATTCTAAAATGGATAAAATAAAACCATTTCCTCATCAATCTACACAAAATACCCCATAATGACAAAGAATTTTTGCAAATGTATTAAAAAATAAAAAACTGAAATACCTTCTTTACATAAGAATTCAGACCATTTGCTATGAGACTTGAAATTGAGCTCAGGTGCATCCTGTTTCCATTGATCATCCTTGAGATGTTTCTACAACTTGACTGGAGTCCACCTGTGGTAAATGTAATTGATTGGACATGATTTGGTAGGGGCACACACATGTATACATAAGGTCCCACAGTTGACAGTGCATGTCAGAGCAAAAACCAAGCCATGAGGTCAAAGGAATTGTCCTTAGAGCTCCGAGACAGGAGGCACAGATCTGGGGAAGGGTACCAAAACATTTCTGCAGCGTTGAAGGTCCCCAAGAACACAGTGGCCTCCATCATTCTTGAATGGAAGAAGTTTGGAACCACCAAGACTCTTCCTAGAGCTGGCCGCCCGGCCAAACTGAGCAATCGGGGGAGAAGGGCCTTGGTCAGGGAGGTGACCAAGAACCCAATGGTCACCCTGACAGAGCTCCAGAGTTCCTCTGTGGAGATGGGAAAACCTTCCAGAAGGACAACCATCTCTGCAGCACTCCACCAATCAGGCCTTTAAGGTAGAGTGGCCAGACGGAAGCCATTCCTCAGTAAAAGGCACATGACAGCCTGCTGGGAGTTTGCCAAAAGGCACCTAAAGGACTCACAGACCATGAGAAACAAGATTCTCTGGTCTGATGAAACCAAGATTGAACTCTTTGGCCTGAATGCCAAGCGTCAAGTCTGGAGGAAACCAGGCACCGCTCATCACCTTGCCAATACCATCCCTACTGTGAAGTATGGTGGTGGCAGCATCATGCTGTGGGTATGTTTTTCAGTGACAGGGACTGGGAGACTCATCAGGATCGAGGGAGAGATGAACGGAGCAAAGAACCGAGAGATCCTTCATGAAAACCTGCTCCAGAGTGCTCAGGACCTCAGACTGGGGGTGAAGGTTCACCTTCCAACAGGACAACGACCCTAAGCACACAGCCAAGACAACGCAGGAGTGACTTCGGGACAAGTCTCTGAATGTCCTTGAGTGGCCAAGCCAGAGCCCGGACTTGAACCCGATCGAACATTTCTGGAGAGACCTGAAAATAGCTGTGCAGCGACGCTCCCCATCCAACCTGACAGAGCTTGAGAGGATCTGCAGAGAAGAATGGGTGAAACGTCCCAAATACAGGTGTGCCAAGCTTGTAGCGTCATAACCAAGATGTCTCGAGGCTGTAATCGCTGCCAAAGGTGCTTCAGCAAGGTACTGAATAAAGGGTCTGAATATGTAAAAGTATTCAGAAAAAACTATTGAATCCATTTTAGAATAAGGCTGTAACATAACAAAATGTGGAAAAAGTCAAGGGGTCTGAATACTTTCCAAATGCACTGTATTTGTGCCAGGTTCTGGTGTGGAACAGTTGCAACTCAGCAGATAGCGGCAGAAGTCAACAACTGGGGTTATCTGCATTTGTTCCCCGTCACAACTAGTTCCTGCAGGCCATTACCAGTCTGTGATCTGTGGGGACAAACAGCTGTGGTGGCAGCAGGGGGCATGGTGTGTGTGTGTTTGTCTGTGTGTATAGAGATAGCGCAGTTGACACATGTCGGACTTTCGTCATAATATTTGTCTGGCTAGGGACCAGTAGCAACAGTCTTCCATTTCATAGGTTGCACCTCCGTCACTCGGTCATCATGTCATCAAATTGACATTAGACAGATTGCAATGTTATTGGCTAGCAAAGTTTGTCAACAATAGCTAGCAATGCTAATGTTAGCTAGCTAAAATCCGGTGGCCTCCCCTCAATCTTAGCTAGCTAAAGTCAATCTGGTGACATCAAAATTATGACAAAAGCTTTTCCTACTAATTATTTGCCTCCTTCTGAATGTCATTGTAGTTCCAAGCCACTGTAATGCACTTTTGATGAAATCTTTATCAGCACTCATTGACAATGCATTTGAGTAGAATGCTCAGTTGGTCATCAGTCCAAAACGAACGCTCCCCATTCAACCTGACAGAGCTTGAGAGGATCTGCAGAGAAGAACGGGAGAAACTCCCCAAATACAGGTGTGCCAAGCTTGTAGCGTCATCCCCAAGAAGACTCAAGGCTGTAATCGCTGCCAAAGGAGCTTCAACAAAGTACAGAGTAAAGGGTCTGAATAGTTATGTAAATGTGATATTTCCGTATTTATTGTGTGCAAAAATGTCTAAAAACCAGTTTTTCCTTCGTCATTATGGGGTATTGTGTGTAGATTGATGAAAAAACAAACAATTTAATCCATTTTAGAATAAGGCTGTAACGTAACAAAATGTGGAAAAAGTGAAGGTGTCTGAATACTTTTCGAATGCACTGTAAGTGAGAATGCTGTTCATTGACATACACTGCTGCTTCTGTTTATTATCTATCCTGTTACCTAGTCACTTTATACACTTTGTACATACCTACCTCAATTACCTTGTATCCCTGCACATCGACTTGGTACTGGTACCCTGTGTATATAGCTAAGTTATTGTTACTCATTGTGCAGTTAATCCTCATGTTATTTTTCTATTATTTCTCTTTTTTTCTCTCTGCATTGTTGGGAAGGGCCCGTAAGTAAGCATTTTACAGTTATTCTACACCTGTTGTTTACGAAACATGTGCCAAATAAAATTTGATTTGACATGATTTGTCTGGTTTTTATCTTCCCCTTTAATCAGGGACTTTCAGACCCTGTCAGTGGATTCTCTGTCCAATCAATAACATGCTTGTTCTTTCAGGGTCTAGACCTGGTTACTGTTAAGCACTTTGTGACAAATGTTTTTGTAAAAACTCATTAGAATGGACTGACACCCATAGAAATATAATTATTATATTATAATAATATTTATATGCGGACATCTGCCCACATAACAACCTGACAACAACAAGCTCACCAGAATGATACATTCACCTTTGACCCAGATTAAAATGGCTGCTCCACCATAGAAGAACAGCAGCAGGGATGTAGTGGGGCGGAAACACACCTAAACAAGGACTACACCACTGGTTTATTATGTGAATAGTGTTGTTAACACACCTGGCTGTCACACCAAATTAGCATTGTTACCTGTAGTGTTTATGTTACTCTGTCAGTCATCTCAACTAGCTACAGTGTTTAGCCACCTTTCTTTTTTAGCTTGTAACCCTAACATTGAGTTTGTTCAAATCAGTTCAATGAATAAACACTGCCATCTTCTGGCCATCTTGATAAATAACACCAAGGTAAATCTTTGATATCCAGGAAGTAGCCTTGTCGTTTTTGAATTTTTGTAGGCTTTTTGAATGGTATTCAATGGGCAAAAACGTAGCGCAATAGTCTTCAGCAAAAACACTTAATAAAAGGCATCTGGCAGAAGTAAATTCATCCACAAACACGATTATCATTTTACATATATCTTAAATGTCTGCGTTTTCACAAATGTGATGATACAATCATCAAACCCATTCAAAATATTATGGGACAGGACCCGGAAGCGTGACGTAGGACGACGTAATTTGCACATCGTGTTGGGTGGGACTGGGAATGGCTCTGGACCATTTGTATGAACCAAAAACGAGACTACAGATTCATTCACGTCACTTATTACAGACAGGACCAATTAACAAAATGTGTACAATAAACAAATACATTACTCTTCAAAGCTTTACTGTAGGAGGGTCATTCCACGAAATTAGTGCCTTTGGAATCCCTTTGATATTTTAATTAGAAATTGTGCACAAATATATACTTTTTGCCCTTTAATATAGATCACATGGAAAATTAAATAAATCTGATTTTGAATATGAAGAAAGACTTGCTAAAGTGGCAAAATTCTACATCCTCTGTGACTTCTAGGAAGATTTTAACCCACTTAACCTAGTGCTTTTGTTGCTTTGACAAAATCATTTCTAAAGATTATTACTAATTTCATGTTATTAGTGATTCATTTTAAGGTTAAAAAAAAACCTTTCCCACATTTTAAGGTCAACCCTGTTACATGAACTGAACTCTCGTTTTAACATGGTGAAACTATTCTATTTTTTAATTTTTTTTTTTGGTAAGGAGACATTGAACATCTCATAATCAAATCATAGTGTAAAAACAGGTGAGCTGGTTCTACTCTTTTTGGCCATTTTCTGGTGTTTTGTGGTGGAAAACTGAGCAGGTCAAGCATAACAGGTCAACCCGGTTACCCATAGATAGACAGGCTAGAAATGTTTGAACAATTTCAAAAATAAAAGTTCAAGCTTGCATCAAGCTTGCCCGTCCCTGTTGCACACAACAAGCTTCCATTCCCCACGGGGATTTATGGCTGATTTAAGATGAACTCGTCAACCCTGTGACGGTCAACCCTGTTACTTTATTTGGCACATATTAGGCACTTACTGTAGTAATTTTGATGGGAAAAGGTATTTTTCATTAAGTTGAACATGCTCTTTATGACAGAATGTTAAAGGAATGTACGCAAAAGGCACCTAATTGGTGGAACGACCCAGGAATGTTTAAAGTTTCAACATTAAACATACAGTCTGTGCACTTTGATTGATGAAAATATTCTAACTGAATACAACGGAATGACTCTTTGGTCAAAATAGTAAGAATACCACTTTGTGAAATAAATACAGTGCGATTCCCTCTAACTTTTCTCCTTTCTAACCCCTCATTAAGGAGTCTCATCTGCCCTAACATTTGTCAGATCTCTTCAGGTCCCCCTTCCTCTTCCTACTTCTCCCTCTCCCTGTTTCTGTGATCTGCTCTTCAAGCTAATTACAAGAACTCTTTTGCACATATCCCACAGTCTTTCTATAAGTCCCTCTATATCTCCATTCCTTTCCACAATCACTCTATCCTTCTCCATCTCTCTATCCTACTCCTTCATCTGTCTATCCTTCTCCTTAATCTGTCTATCATTCTCCTTCATCTCTATATCCTTCTCATTCATCTGTCTATTCTTCTCCTCCAGCTGTCTGCTGAACTCCCTCTGCATCTTTGTCTGTGAGATCATGATGTTCCTCTGTAACTCAGGTAGGACCATCTTCATCAGGTTTCTCTCTGCTTCAACTCTGGCCTCTCCTTCATAGTTTCCCCTCATATCCTCAATCTCCTGTCTGTATCTCTCCTCCATCTCCTTTCTCTCATTCTCTTTCTCCTCTCTTAATCTCTTTAGCTCTCTCTCAATCCCCTTCCTCCTATCAGACTCTCTCTTCAGCTCTCTCTTCAGCTCTCTCTTCTTTTCCTCATCCCTCTCTTCTTCCATCTGTCTCTCCAGTTCAGTTATTCGTTCTCTGAGTATTCTGATATCTCCTTCATGTTCCTAGATCACTCCCTCTATCTTCTTCAGAGAGTCCTGCAGCTCCTTCTCAAACCTCACTCTCATCTTTCTCTCCTCCCTCTGTTTCCTCTCCTGTCTCTCCATCTGGATCTTTCCCTCCATCTCTCTAACCTGGGTCTCTGTCTCCTGGTAGGTCTGACTGCTGTAGAATCTCTCTCTGTTTCCTGCCACCATCTCCTCTACCTGCTCCAGCAGCTCTGGGACCTGAGTGCCATGGGCCCTGTCCTTAATGTTGAGGATGTGGTACCTGCTCCCACATTTCTCTACAAGCTGCTGGAGGTCCTGACTCCCTGCTTGGAGAAACTCCTCAATGCTCTGCTCTTTCAGGCCATCAGCATGGGTGAATAGAATCACAGTGTGTTCCCAACAACCCTCCCCAAACATCTCCTCTATTCTCTCCAGCACCCCTCTCTCCTCCCCCTTAGAGGGCTCCACTGTTATGACCAGGAGGAAGGTGTGGGGTCCCGGGGCAGACATACGGACACAAAGCCCCACATCCTGTCTAATCTTCTCCAGACAGAGTCCAGGACAGAACCAGTCTGGAGTGTCCACCAGCACCAACCGTCTCCCAGACACGTCCCCCTCTCTCCTCTTACTCTTCTGGGTCACTGCAGAGGGGCTGGCCTGGACCCCAAACTCCTCTCTGCCCAAGATAGTGTTTCCTGCTGCACTCCTCCCAGCCCCAGTCCTCCCCAGCAGCACCAGTCTCAGCTCAGACACACTTGGAGACACTGGGGAGTCTGGACTGCTGCTGTCACACCCTGGCTCTGGGACTCTATTTGTTGAGCCAGGGTGTGTTTATTCTATGTGTTCTGTTTCTTTGTTTGGGTGTTCTAGGTTGTCTGTTGCTATGTTTGCCTGTGTGACTCCCAATCAGAGGCAACGAGTGTCAGCTGTCGGCTGGTTGTCTCTGATTGGGAGCCATATTTAATCTGTATGTTTTCCCTTGGGTGTTGTGGGTTTTTGTTCCGTGTCGGTATTGTTAACCGTTGGACTTCACGAGTCGTGTTTTGTTTGTATTTAGAAACTTTAATTAAAGAAAGTCATGTTTCTTTCACACGCTGCGCCTTGGTCCGCTTCCTGTAACGACGATCGTGACAGAAAAACTCACCATACAACGACCAAGCAGCGTGTCCAGGAACACACGCAGGAGGTGACTCTGGTGGATGTCCTCCTCGGTTGGGGGCAGATTACCGAGGAGGAGGCCGTCCGGTACCGGAGGGCTATGAAGGGGGAGACCCAGGCAGGAGAGGAGCAGCGGCATCAGCAGTGCCATCGTCGGACAGACGAGAGGCACCCCCAATAATTTTTTAGGGGGGGGCACACGGCATGGGCGACTGGGCAGCAGGAGGCTGCCACAGGGCGAAATAGGCGATTTGGAGAGGAGGCCACCAGGTTTGGGGGGCCAGAAGGCAGGTTGGCGGAGCCTGGATGGAGAGCGGAACCAACTTCCCGTGCTCAGGCATGGCAGCATGGGACGGGGCAGGTTCCGCGGTATGCGGAGCGGCGTACGGTGCCACGAGTGGTCCGGCATAGTCCTGTGCGAGCACCCCGCACGTGTCGTGCGAAGGTGGGTATGCAGCCAGGACGGAGTATGCCGGCTCAACGCTCGTGGTCTCCAATGCCTCTCCGCGGTCCCGGATATCCTGCTCCAGTGTCACGTGCTGTTATGCCAGTACGGGTACACAGCCCTGTACGTCCTGTGCTGATGCCTCACACAGAGTGGGTGAAGGTAGGCATTCAGCCAGGACGGGTTGTGGCAGCTCTTCACTCCAGGTCTCCTATCCGTCTCCATAGCCCAGTCCGGCCTGTCCCTGCTCCACGCACCAAGCCTACGGTGTGCGTCGCCAGCCCTGTCCGGCCTGTTCCTGCTCCACGCACCAAACCTACGGTGTGCGTCGCCAGCCCAGCCCGGCCTGTCCCTGCTCCACGCACCAAGCCTACGGTGTGCGTCGACAGCCCTGCCCGGCCTGTTCCTGCTCCACGCACCAAGCCTACGGTGTGCGTCGCCAGCCCAGCCCGGCCTGTCCCTGCTCCACGCACCAAGCCTACGGTGTGCGTCGACGGCCCAGCCCGGCCTGTCCCTGCTCCACGCACCAAGCCTACGGTGTGCGTCGACGGCCCTGCCCGGCCTGTTCCTGCTCCACGCACCAAACCTACGGTGTGCGTCGCCAGCCCTGCCCGGCCTGTTCCCGCTCCACGCACCAAGCCTACGGGGTGCGTCGTCAGCCCAGCCCGGCCTGTTCCTGCTCCACGCACCAAGCCTACGGTGTGCGTCGACAGCCCTGCCCGGCCTGTCCCTGCTCCACGCACCAAGCCTACGGTGTGCGTCGCCAGCCCTGTCCGGCCTGTCCCTGCGCCACGCACCAAGCCTACGGTGTGCGTCGTCAGCCTGGTCCAGCCCGTTCCTGCCACTCGCACCAAGCCAGGGGTGCGAGTCGTCAGCCTGGTTCAGCCCGTTCCTGCTACTCGCACCAAGCCCGGGGTGCGAGTCGTCAGCCTGGTAAGACCGGTCAGCTGCTCCACAACGGAGCGTAAGCAATCCGCTCCGTCAATGTCCAGTCCAGATCCAGCCAGCGGGGTCAGACCGGACCAGGGGCGCTACGGGGGAATTATGCAAGGGTGGTGGTCAAGGCCGGAGCCGGAGCCGCCTCCGAGGAGGAATGCCCACCCAGCCCTCCCCTGTTTGGGGTTTTGTTAAGACGCGGTCGCAGTCCGCGCCTTTAGGGGGGGGTACTGTCACACCCTGGCTCTGGGACTCTATTTGTTGAGCCAGGGTGTGTTTATTCTATGTGTTCTGTTTCTTTGTTTGGGTGTTCTAGGTTGTCTGTTGCTATGTTTGCCTGTGTGACTCCCAATCAGAGGCAACGAGTGTCAGCTGTCGGCTGGTTGTCTCTGATTGGGAGCCATATTTAATCTGTATGTTTTCCCTTGGGTGTTGTGGGTTTTTGTTCCGTGTCGGTATTGTTAACCGTTGGACTTCACGAGTCGTGTTTTGTTTGTATTTAGAAACTTTAATTAAAGAAAGTCATGTTTCTTTCACACGCTGCGCCTTGGTCCGCTTCCTGTAACGACGATCGTGACAGCTGCTCTCTCTTCCCACTGCAACACAACACACAACGCTGCTCAACACACTTTCTGGAGGTTGGACCATTTAGAAACATTATAAAACAACAGTGAAAACGTTATATTTAGGGTTTCATTCATGCTGTTTGTCCTCCTCAGTGGAAGTGTGTGGTCTGTACCTGAGGTCTCTCCTCCCACTGAAACACAACATAGAGAACTGGTCAACATACTGACTCATCAGAGACACATTTAAAAACATAGTAAATGACCTTTGCTGAATTCCAAATACAATACACATCATAGTGAAATATAGATTGTTGAAGAAAATAGTAAATATCAAGATACAGTGGCTTGCGAAAGTATTCACCCCCCTTGGCATTTTTCCTATTTTGTTGCCTTACAACCTGGAATTAAAATTGATTTTTGGTGGGGTTTGTATCATTTGATTTACACAACATGCCTACCACTTTGAAGATGCAAAATATTTTTTATTGTGAAACAAACCAGAAATAAGACAAAAAAAAACAGAAAACTTGAGCGTGCATAACTAGGGGGGTGAATACTTTCGCAAGCCACTGTATCTTGATATTTACTATTTTCTTCAACAATCTATATTTCACTATGATGTGTATTGTATTTGGAATTCAGCAAAGGTCATTTACTATGTTTTTAAATGTGTCTCTGAAGAGTCAGTATGTTGACCAGTTCTCTATGTTGTGTTTCAGTGGGAGGAGAAACCCACCCAAAGTCAATAGTTTGTAGAGCCACCTTTTGCAGCAATTACAGCTACAAGTCTCTTGGTGTGTGTCTCTATAAGCTTGGCACATCTAGCCACTGGGATTTTTGCCATTCTTCAAGGCAAAACTGCTCCAGCTCCTTCAAGTTGGATGGGTTCTGCTGGTGGACAGCAATCTTTAAGTCATACCACAGATTCCCAATTGGATTGAGGTCTGGGCTTTGACTAGGCCATTCCAAGACATTTAAATGTTTCCCCCTAAAACACTTGAGTGTTGCTTTAGCAGTATGCTTAAGGTCATTGTCCTGCTGGAAGGTGAACCTCCGTCTCGGTCTCAAATCTCTGGAAGACTGAAACAGGTTTCCCTCAAGAATTCACTGTATTTAGCGCCATCCATCATTCCTTCAATTCTGACCAGTTTCCCAGTCCCTGCCGATGAAAAACATCAACTCACAGCATGATGCTGCCACCACCATGCTTCACTGTGGGGATGGTGTTCTCGGGGTGATGAGAGGTGTTGGTTTGCGCCAGACAGCATTTTCCTTGATGGACAAAAAGCTAAATTTTTGTCTCATCTGACCAGAGTACCTTTTTCCATATGTTTGGGGAGTCTCCCACATGCCTTTTGGCAAACACCAAACATGTTTGCTTATTGTTTTCTTTAAGCAATGGCTTTTTTTTGCCACTCTTCCGTAAAGCCGAGCTCTGTGGAGTGTACGGCTTAAAGTGGTTCTATGGACATCTCCGCTGTGGAGCTTTGCAGCTTCTTCATGTGACACTTAGATTGCACACATGTGGACTTTATTTTACAAATTATGTGACTTTTGAAAGGTAATTGGTTGCACCAGATCTTATTTAGGGGCTTCATAGCAAATACATATGCACGCACCGCTTTTCCGTCATTTATTTGTTAGAATTTTTTTTAACTAGTTATTTTTTTCATTTCACTTCACCAGTTTGGACTATTTTGTGTATCTCCATTACAAAATGCATTTAAATTACAGGTTGTAATGCAACAAAATAGGACAAATGCCAAGGGGGATGAATACTTTTGCAAGGCACTGTAGATAACAGTTTGAGGCAACATTCATAGACTAGAAAAAACAGGAGAAAACAGGACAATATTGATAACTCACTGTCTGGAGGATAATCCATGCTCTGTCTCCTCCTGACTGGGAGTATGGAACCTGTATCTGAGGTCTTTCCGTGTTCTAAAACAACAAATAACATCCATTTAGAATGGGAACATTTAGAGAGCTTGGGAATATAAGGTGCTATCTGCAAAAATATGATTCTGAGATAATTGGCTTTAAAAGAGTCTATTGACGCATCCCGAGTGGCGCAGCGGTCTAAAGCACTGCATCGCATCGCAGTGAGGCGTCACTACAGACATGGGTTCGATCCCAGGCTGTGTCACAACCAAATCATTTTTAAATATATATTTTTTATACTTAAAGGGGTCCTAAAATTCCAAATCAAATAGCTAAATGATCCATGGTATGACCATCTTAAAACAATTCCACATGTTAGCTTAGAAGAAAGTACAATAAATATGATGATGGAATGGTAATAATCTTACCCAGTTTAGCATTTTCATTGTTGACATCCTCCACTTGTTTGTCTCTTTCCTTTAATTGCTTCTCTCTCTCCTCTAGTAGTTTCTTTCTCTTCTAGTTCATGCCTCCTCTCTTTAAGTTCATTTTCTTTTTCCTCTAGTAGTTTGTCTCTCTCTTCTGGGTAGTTTGTCCTTCTCTCCCAGTTTGTGGTTCCTGTCCTCTAGTTGAAGGTCTTTTTCCTGCAGTATGTCTCTGAAGTTCTCTACTTGGCTGTTCTTGTCCTGCAGGTCCTTCCCCAGTGCCTCCAGTTGTCTCTTACTCTTCTCCACCTCGGCAGTGTCCTCCAGTAGTCTCTCTTTCTCTCTCACTTGCTGGGTCATATCATCCAGTTGTGTATCTTTCTCCTGGAGGTGTTTGATGTTCTCATTCAGTTGCTTTGTGGTTTTCTCCAGTCTGCTCTCTGTGTCCTTCAGTTCTTTATTCCTCTCCTCCAGTGTTGAGTCCTTGTCTTTTAGCATCTCTTCAGATTCCCTCAATGTCTTCCTCATCTCCTCTAGTTGTTTTTCTTTGTCTTCTAGCTTCTTTTTTACTGCTGGATGTCTGAATGCTTCTTTTTCCAACTTCATTTCTGAGGGAGAATGAGAATCTTTGATACATTTATTGTTGACTGACTGAACTGGTAATTTGCTGAACATCATTCATTCATTCATTCATTCATTACAAAAAACTAACAATTATTTGTCAGTCTCTTACAGTCAACAGTCATATTGGATTAACCAATCATTATCAGATTTATTGATTATTCTATACATTAACAAATTCATTAGTCTGGAAAACTGAATGAGATCCTGTTCCCTGAACCAATCCACGTTCCTCTAGACTCTCTCATACTTACCAAGCTCACCAGCTGATTCTTCCCTCCTCAGCTTCATCTTCTGGGTCTCATGTTGTAAATAAATGGAACCTGGACCTGTCCCTATGGTGTAAAACAGAGAAGTGAGTTCTGTTCGGTAGATTACATCACATGAATACAGGACAAACTAGACCAATCCGATTTCTCAAGTCACTCAATCCTCTCTCTTATGTGGAGAGTGTGGACACCAATGAGATCTGGTTAGCTCCATTAACAGCATGTTTCTATTGGCCCATTTCTGGTAATAAAGTCAATTGTCTTATTATTATTTTTTGAGTGGCCAATATTGGGTTCTATGGCAGATATACAATATTGTGGGAGGAGGCAGGGCTATGTAAACCCAGGTGGATATCAATAAGAAAAACAGCCAAATAAAGAGTTACTCACCCAACCACCATTCTCCTGATCATCCATTATCCAAGATGGAAAGTAATGAGTAATGATAATGTAAAACAAAATTAATTAATTATTGTAATCTTCAAATCGCCATCTTTCCATATCCGCGGGAAGTAGTTTGGGGTGCTGCGTTTTTTTTAGCCGACGGGGGAAAAATGTCCCCCAAACATTATCACCTGAATATTAGGTTTATATTAGGTTTAAAGGTCTGTGGAATGGCGTGTACAGTGTACTACTCAACCTCATCATACATAGGCTACATTCACTCAATTAGCCTACTTGTGGAACAGTGAATACAGTGCAACATGAAATAGATGCATAATACACGCTATCAAGGCCGACTTCAAATACCGACATCAATGTGAAAGTAACCGGAACATAAAACAGCTGACTACAAATGCAAACTATGCCAGATAAATTCTACACATGCATTGAAATAAAAGGCATGCATTGAATAAATTACTTAGGCCTACAATCAACAAGGACGCATAAAGACAAACAAACTCGACCAAGGAATGAAGAAAAATCGACACATTAAGGCAGCGCCTGTGATTCAGCACCACTGAATGGACAGCGCCTCGGTACAGGTAGGCATAGTGGAGCTCTGTGGGGTGTGGCTGAATGGACAGCATCTCTGTCTAGTAGCCAGCTGGAATTAGGCTATTCAGTTTGTGGGCAGTTAGACATTTTCTGGGCACAGTTGAGTAGCCTACAATGCTTAACTGGCACGCAGATCTTTAGAAATTGTAGGATCAATTGTAAATTGTCACTCATATGAAAAAGGTTGGCTGGTATAGGCTATATGAAGCCACCCTTGTGGAACGGTGCATACAGTGTACTATGACAGTGTCATTGTCTCGTGCGCTTCCTACCAACATTGTTCCTCTGTATTCAGAGATGTTCCTTATAATGTGTGCCCCCAGCTCATTTTTGTATTTGTCAGGGAAGGGAAACATTCTGCGAATGTTGCATCAACAAGGTGTTTCTGAGAATATTTAAACATTGTATCAACGAACGAGGTGGCTCGGAGAATATTGAAACATTTTGTATCAACAAGACTGCTCTGAGAATATTAATATTGCAATACAGTAGCCAACGCGGATGCGGCCCACAAACAGCTTGACTCTGTCTTATATTATTGTGTTGCCAACGCAGCAGCTGTTAGGTCATTATATACTAAAAACAACCCTACATCCACACTATAGCTAAATAAATTAGCAATATTTAGTGACGTTTTGCCAGCAAGATTGATCTGTTAGAGTATCTCAATTTAATTGAGGAAGATGGCCAAGCAAGACTGGTAGAGTGAGAGGTGGAAATGCATTGTACCAGAGGCAGGTAGGCTACAGGTAGGTATGCAGGCAGAGGATGATGATGTAGGCCTACAGCAAGAAGTTAAACAAGTTTGCCCAACTAGGTAATCATTAATTATTTGCATTATCTCAATTATCATTATGTCACTGCATGACAATGCACATTTGTTATAGCCTACAATTGTTATTGTCTTTGAAGGGGAATTGCTCTAAATAGCAAGTTTTTCAGTTATTTATTTTCATACCAATAGGCATACATGAAAACAAAATTGCACTAGCCTACTGGGCGAATAAATTAAAATGTAAATGAGGCTTACAGCTATCACAACCTATATGTTAATAGCAATAAAACAGTTTTTGGTTTCGAATAGTCACCAAAAAGGAGTGCTCCCCACCTCCCAATTCCCAATTGGAAAATAAGTATTTGGTCACCTACAAACAAGCAAGATTTCTGGCTCTCACAGACCTGTAACTTCTTCATTAAGAGGCTCCTCTGTCCTCCACTCGTTACCTGTATTAATGACACCTGTTTGAACTTGTTATCAGTATAAAAGACACCTGTCCACAACCTCAAACAGTCACACTCCAAACTCCACTATGGCCAAGACCAAAGAGCTGTCAAAGGACACCAGAAACAAAATTGTAGACCTGCACCAGGCTGGGAAGACTGAATCTGCAATAGGTAAGCAGCTTGGTTTGAAGAAATCAACTGTGGGAGCAATTATTAGGAAATGGAAGACAGACAAGACCACTGATAATCTCCCTCGATCTGGGGCTCCACGCAAGATCTCACCCCGTGGGGTCAAAATGATCACAAGAACGGTGAGCAAAAATCCCAGAACCACACGGGGGGACCTAGTGAATGACCTGCAGAGAGCTGGGACCAAAGTAACAAAGCCTACCATCAGTAACACACTACGCCGCCAGGGACTCAAATCCTGCAGTGCCAGACGTGTCCCCCTGCTTAAGCCAGTACATGTCCAGGCCCGTCTGAAGTTTGCTAGAGTGCATTTGGATGATCCAGAAGAGGATTGGGAGAATGTCATATGGTCAGATGAAACCAAAATATACCTTTTTGGTAAAAACTCAACTCGTCCTGTTTGGAGGACAAAGAATGCTGAGTTGCATCCAAAGAACAGCATACCTACTGTGAAGCATGGGGGTGGAAACATCATGCTTTGGGGCTGTTTTTCTGCAAAGGGACCAGGACGACTGATCCGTGTAAAGGAAAGAATGAATGGGGCCATGTATCGTGAGATTTTGAGTGAAAACCTCCTTCCATCAGCAAGGGCATTGAAGATGAAACGTGGCTGGGTCTTTCAGCATGACAATGATCCCAAACACACCGCCCGGGCAACGAAGGAGTGGCTTCGTAAGAAGCATTTCAAGGTCCTGGAGTGGCCTAGCCATAACTTCTGGCTATCAGATTACAACAAGGCTTACAATGCCAAGTTCAAATGCCGACATCAACTTCAAAGCAATCGGAGCACTGCCTAAATAGCTGACCTGCAAAGCAAATGGCACTGTCTCTGCCCTCTGCTTTTTAAAAGTGACAGAAAAGGCACACAGGCTGGCAGCTGCTCTCCGAGCAATGCTCCGCATGGTCCACAACGCTCTTAACCACTAAGCTGCCGCCCTGAGAAAGTAGAAGTGTTCTGTACAGGGAAAGAGACTGGTTGTTATTGTTGTTGTTTAGGTGTTTATGAACATTACTGGAGTTATAGAACACTTACGTCCACTGCCCCATAAACCCACTGCCCCTCCTCCTTCTGTTCTCCATGGATGACCGACCATATGTAGACTCCTCCTTCTGACTCCCTGTAGTCTCTCAGCCTCAGAGACACATTGCCTCTCTCCAGCTCCTGGGTGATCAGACTCACTCTTCCCTCTTAGCTACTCCTCTCTGTCACCTGGCCATTCTTATACAGGTAAATACACTCTGTCCCTTTAAACCACCTGATTGTCATGGCAACAGCACTGGTCTCAGGTGAGAGGTGACAGGGGACGTTGACATCATCACCATCCCGAGCCTCCACACTGTCTTCAGGGCTGGTGAGTTTAAACTCATCTGTGTCATGTTCACAAACACTCTCATCATAAACACAGCTCAATGAAACGCTACAATAGACATACAATGACAGGGACAAACTCATCTTCCAAACACATTTAATCCATGCAGATACACATGTACAGAGAAAAACCACAAACTTATTTAACTCTCAATAGTTGGTTTAGTATTGCTTTCCAATATGAATGCAAGAAAATAAAAAAATGAATTCCAACATGATGACTTTATGAACTCTGGCCATTTTCCCTGCAATAAAAAGAGAAAACATTTATATTGACATAATTCCACCATCTATTCATCAGATGATCTCTTTCTGCCAGGCACACAGATGCAAACATGTCTTCCTCTTCCTGCAGTCCTCATTGTTTTGAAACAGGAGTGTTGTCTCTCATTCGTATCTCTCAAATACACAGGACACAAACATATTCTTTCTCCAGTCCTCACTGTTGTGGCTCATTTGGAAAGTGAAATATACTGAGATCTCCTCTTACCTTTACTGGTCTTCATGTCCACCACAGAATACAAATAGTTTCTTTAAATCCATAACAATGCACCACTATTGAGAAAACATACCGTACATGAGTACATACAGACATATCTTCACAACGTTTTTACTGATCACTGTTTCTCAGGCCTGTACAATAAATCTACAGACTCTCACCTTTACTCAGGTACACCCTCACAGGTAAACTCCTCTGTCTCTCCCCAATAACCTCTCCCTTCTCTTTATCTCTGTATGTCAAGTATAGAACTGAAAATAACATGAAGGGTGTGATCAGTGGAATGGTTTACTTATTATCTACAATCAATTTAATTTACTCAGGTACTTCTCTGTCCTCTTCTGCCGTTCTCTCTCTCTATCTCTCTCTCTCTCTCTCTCTCTCTCTCTCTCTCTCTCTCTCTCTCTCTCTCTCTCTCTCTCTCTCTCTCTCTCTCTCTCTCTCTCTCTCTCTCTCTCTCTCTCTCTCTCTCTCTCTCTTGCTCTCGCTAACTGTAAGTCAAGTAGAGAAGTGCAGATCACATGAAGGGAGTCATCAGCAGAAATCCTTTACTTATTATATCATCATATGATCCTATTGTGATTCATGTACAACTGTGATCAATCCAGCAACATTCAGTACAGTTTATTACCATAAAATGATTGCAAGATTTGTGTGCAGGGAAAGAGCAAAGTTGATCAGTTGTCACTGATCTTTGAAACTAGAATGCTGCAGTTGTACTTACTAAAACTAAATGTAATAA